CCATCGAGGGGAGCGACGAAGATGCCGATTTTTAGAATTGTATCTTTGGGCTTGTCGCCTTTTGTTTTCTGAAATTTTCTTTCCTGTTTGTTTTGTTTTCTCTGTTGTCCTTTCGACCTAATTTTCTGATTGTAAAGGTCGAGGCGATGCTCTCTTGTAATGAACTTATCTTGAATATTATCTATTATTTTCCTTCTTCGCTTGAATGGTATAGATTTGTAACTTTGTAGTTATTTTGATCGTCTTCATAGTCGCAGATTTGTTGAGACTCCATTCGAGTCACAACTTCATAGTTCAAACTGTATCTTAGTCATATTTTTATCGTTATCCCATTCGTTTCGACTTCGTGGTTGTTTAAGTCGACTTTGTAGTCGTAGACTTCGTAGTCTTGCCGAGATTTCACTCGAGGCATACAACTTTGTAGTTGTTTAGATCGACTTTGTAGTCGTAGGCTTCGTAGCCTTGCCGAGATTTCACTCAAGGCATACAACTTTGTAGTTGTTTGGATCGACTTTGTAGTCGTAGGCTTCGTAGCCTTGCCGAGATTTCACTCGAGGCATACAACTTTGTAGTTTTTTGGATCGACTTTGTAGTCGTATCTTAACTTGTTGTATTTTTTAAGAAAGTTTAAGTATGTGGGTAACCGCGGTAAAAATGTAAAAGAGAAAAGACAATTCAAACATCAAACTTGAAATTCATTTCACTACTGAATTTAATTTGAGAGTTTTTCAGTACAAAAAGAGCTTTAGACTCAGCCTTAGGCGTAAAAGCGCTTAAGATGGACCACATGCCAAGATCGGGGCAATCGACGGCCTTCCTCGTCTTCTAGCTCGTATGCTCCTCTCTCGAGAACTTTTGTGACTGTGTAAGGCCCCTCCCAGTTGGCTTCGAGCTTTCCTACGTGCTTGAGGGCGTCTGCTCACTTGAGGACGAGGTCTCCGACTTGGAAACGTCGAGTCCGAACCTTCTTGTCAAAAGCTGCGCGCATCTTTTGCTTGTACTCGACGGATCGCACCCATGCTTCTTCTCGCCCTTCTTCGATTAAATCGAGGGCTTCTTTGGCCATTTCCTCATTCTTTCCTTGCTCAAAGTATGTTGACATGTGCGAACTTAGTGTAATTTCCACTGGAAGAGGGCATCCATTCCATATACCATACTGAATGGTGATTGGCCTGTCGAGCTTCTCGGCGTAGTCCGGTATGCCCATAGGACAGTGGTTAGCTCGTCAATCCAGGCTCCTGATGCCTTCTCCAATCGCTTCTTTAGCCCTTGTAAGATGGTTCTATTCGTAACCTCAACTTGTCTGTTGGCCTGGGGGTGAGCGACCGAGGCAAATCTCTGTTTGATCCCCATATCAAGGCACCATGCCTGAATTCGTTTGCCCTGAAACTGAGTTCCATTGTCTGAGATTAATACCTTCGGGATTCCAAATCGACAACAGATGTTGTTAAATAGGAACTGGATCATTTTTTCTTCGGTAATTTTGGCCAGCGGTTCTGCCTCGACCCATTTGCTAAAGTAGTCGACTGCAACTACCAGAAATTTTCTTTGTCCGGTCCCCATTGGCAAAGGCCCCACCAGGTCGATTCCCCATTGAGAAAAGGGAATCGGACAGTTGATTGTTGCCATGGTCTCAGCGGGGATATGAGGAATCGGGCCATGACGCTGGCATCTTTCGCATCCTTGTACCAACTGCTCGGCCATTCTCCTGATTTTCGGCCAATAATAGCCAGCCCGCATAACTTTTCCAGCTAAAGCCCGAGACCCGACGTGAGCCCCACAACATCCTTCATGGACTTCCTGTAAGACATAATTTCCCTCGTCTTCAGAAATGCATCTTAAATGGGGCCCGACATACGACCTCTTATATAGCACCCCCTCGATTTCAAAATATTTACTCAAGTATCGGGCGGCTTTTTCGGCTTCCTGCTTATCCCCAATAGGTACTTTTCTTTGCAAAAGCTCGCGAATCGACATCCTCCAATCGCCCTTCTCCTCGACTTCCATGGCTTCACCCAGGACACTCTTTTCCAGGTTCATGGTGGTAATGTGGTTCCCCATCTTTCCCTCATTTGAGCTAGCTATCTTGGCGAGCCAGTCGGCTCGTTTGTTTTTCTCTCGAGGGATTTGGGTCAACTCGAATTTTTCCAAGCCTTGTACCAGGCTTTGAATTTCCTCGACATACTTCTGCATTCTATCTTTTTTCACTTCACAGTTCCCCATTACTTGGCCCACGACAAGTTGTGAATCGGAATGGGCTGCAATTTCTGTTGCTCCGCCACCAATTGCCAAGTGGATTCCTTTAATCAATGCCTCATATTTTGCTTTTTGAGGCTTTGAAACCCAGTCTGATGGCGAAGTCGAGTTGTTCGCCTTCGGGAGATACTAGGACAACCCCTAGACCCGACCCTTTGGCTGCTGAGGATCCGTCGACATGCATTATCCATTTCTTCTCTTCTCCCTTAGTTCCTTCTTGGATAAAATCGGCCAAGGCTTGGGCTTTTATGGCTCGTCTCGGTTCATACTTAATGGAGTACTCACTTAGTTCAACCGTCCAT